TCTCTGATGACTCTGTATCGACTCTCGCGAATTTGATTTGTTCATGACAGCCTGTAATTGTTATCAACAATAAAAAATCGTCGATAATTGTTGGATTTGAGTTTTTCCGGTAGAATATGTTTAATATTGACTAGATGAGGTCTTTGATGACTCTGTATCTACTCTCGTGAATTTTATTTGTTTATAACACCCTGTAATTGTTCTAAACAATAAAAAACGGTTTCTTTTTAATGTATTTGTACTCTACTAACGGAAAATTTTTTCTTTCACTGAAATTAAGTTACAAACCATGTAAAATCTATGTAAGCGTACTTCTTCTATTTATAACAACTGAATTTGATATAAATAATAGAAACAGGATCTATTTAATGTATTTGGACTCTACTAATGGAAAATTTTTTCTTAAGATACAAACTATATAAAATGTCCGGAAGCATACTTTTTTTGTTAATAGCAATTGGGTTTATCATAAACAACAGAGAATGGGTGCTCTTTAATATATTTGTGCTCTTCCAATAGAAACTTTTTTCTTCCACTAGAATAAAGTTACTGACCGTGTCTAACGAAGTAGAACCTATTTTTTTCGTTAATATTTATCTAATTAATTATACACAATTGAAAATGGGATCTATACACTGTGTTCTAGTTTATTCAACGGATAATCTTTTTCTCTACTGTTTAAACCTACTTTTTAAGTTTGCAACGTATAATTTGTTCTAAAGGATCAGAAATCGAGTCTTAGAATAGATTTCGAATAATTTTCTTCCATTAGAAATACTTACGCATACATATTTTTTTTTATCCTATCACACAGCAACAGGTTTTTGGATATGGCTTATTCACGGATGAAATCACAAGAATCTGCTCGTTTTTAATAATCTCTTTTAGTTGATATGCACAAAAAATCGTGAAATCTCATCAAAAACAGCTCCCTCTTTTTGGGCTATACGAAAATGTGTGCTAATCATAAACAATGACAATGATGGAACGACAAAAAGTCCTAAAATCATTGTACGCTAAGTTGTTAAATCTAAGAATCAACAATAATTTAAATGAATTATTTTTTTGACTGCTTTTTTTTCGAAAAAAAAATAGTACGTTTTATGACACTAAACATAACAACCAATAGGAGGGGGCTGTTTTTGATGAGATATCTACTCTTGCCACTATAATTTGTTTATAACAGTCCGCAATAGTTATGAATAATTAAAAAACGTCAATTAGCGTTGGATTTGAGATTTTTCCAGTTATATAAGTTTTTTTCATTTACTTGATTGCTGCATTTTTACAAGCTGTCTATCTAGTTTTTAACACAGAGTTTATTCTATTTTTTTGGAAATAAGTGTATGGTTGATAGAAGTAAATAAAAATTGGCGTTTCGTAGATTAGTTTTTTTTTATCTAATCACCATTACAGTTCTCTATTATATATTAACTATTTTTTATCGGCAGAACATTTTTTCGTTTAATTCATCAAAATTTTATGTTTTCTCTTCAGTTGCTGTGAAAAGTCTCAAGAATGAAGACTATTTTTGTAGGAACGTTTGAGGAGTGCATTTACGTTTTTACATTAATTGATCTTTTAGGAGTTGTTATGGGTTTTTCAAAAATGAGGTTGATTTTCAAAATATATTCAAAAAAGTGCACGTATATGTTTCTATACTAACTATATTTGTTGATTTGACGATTTTTCATTTTTTTAAATAATTACAGGCTGTCATGAACAAATCAAATTCGTGAGAGTCGATACAGAGTCATCAGAGACCTTATCTAGTCGATATCAAACATATTTCTTCCATTTTTTAGAACAATTACAGGCTGTTATAAACAAATTATGGTGGCGAGAGTAGATATAAAATTAATTATTACCTGCAAATAATTTTTTTTTTTTTCTTAACTGATATTTAACTTGTTTTTACGAATATTTTCTTGCAGTTAAACACGCGTGATCTATTTTCATTATTTAACCAATATTTAACCGGTTTTCACACATATTTAACCGTTATATACGTCCGGATATATAAAAAATATTTTAGTTATATAACTAGTTTTCAACTCATATTCAACTTCTTTTATTTAGTTAAATACCTAATATTTAACCGGGATTTAACTCAGATTTAACCGTGAATATTCAGTTAAATACGTAAGTTATTTTACTGCTTTTTAACCGAAAAAAAACAGTTGAATTTCGGTTCGATTATTTAACCGGAATTTAACTGGTTTTTTTCAGTTTATAGAAACCACGAGGGTACACAGTTCAATCGGTTTCTTCGACAACTCACAGTTGTACAATACAACCAACGATATCAGCTGATGGAAAACTCTTCATTCCTCTTTTTCTTGTGTTCAAAGAACCAACTGGTCAACTTGGCCCACGGGCAGAATCATCACTTATGAGACCAGATAATGTACACGTAGAAATATCGAAATCTGAAAAACTTACTGCAGGTTAAAAATTCAATTCAAATACTATATTATATAATATATTCTGGAAGTTTACATACCAATTTTTTTTAGAACACGTAAAAATCTCGTTGGAGGATGTATTTTTTTCCAATTATTAGAAAAAAAAATTCGCTTTTGATTGATTCGTGGACTGGACATTGTTCTAAAGCTGACATGTCTGCCAAACTCCTCGATATAGAAATTGAGATAATGATTATTCCTGAAGGGGCTACTGGACAAATTCAACCATTAGATGTTTTAGGGTGTAGAATATGAAAAACTTTGTAAGACATTTTTAGACAGTGTCCTATTACGAGGAGATGATTCAAATTTACACTCAAGAAATAATATTATTAAATTACAATCACTGACTCATAATTAATAACAATTGGGAATTTTGAAATTGTGATTTTGTTTACCGTCATTAGTGTTATTTTAAAAATTGTAAAGACAGGTATATCGTAGTTTTTTATCCTCTTTTGACAAAAATTGGTTCCATCAAAAAATTATTTTTAGTTTTTGAGGTGTAGATTCTTTTTTACATTTTATAAAAAAAACGTATATCTGTAAGTTTTATAAGTATGTAAATAAAGGTATTTTCTATCATTTTTTATGTTGTTTTTAACGTATAAGCTCGTTTTAGAAAATTCCGATCAAAATATGTGAAAATTAAGAATCATCTTTATGGGGTATCAACTTTGGGGGTGATTTTTACCCCTTCACAACGTTTTTCCGCCGAAAAAGAAAATACAAGTTTCATAATTTTCAATGTAGATGATCATATAGAAACCTCAGCTAAATCGACAGTGGCCACCTCGCGAGGTTTTCTTGTAAATCGTATCATCCTATTTAATCACTTCGTTTTCAATTCAAATATTTACTCACATTTCCCATAGAAACTCTTTATTATCTATAAAATTGCGAACTACCTTCTAGAATAATCATAATTCTATTCGGTTCTTTAAATAGGATAGTTCTGAATCCTTTTTGTTTTTATGATCTATTCATATACTTTTTCAGATTTGCATAATCCTGTTAGATTTTCTTCGGGTGGCAAAAATTTCTCAACTTTTCCTATTCAAATACGGTGTTTCCTATTTAAATTTTGAAAAATCATATAGAATTTTTTTTTAATAGTAATGTTTAAGCAGGGTATTGACTTACACCGGAAATAAAAATGATGTTTTCATTATGTTCAATTATTATGAAACACAAACGATTATTACATAAAAAATATTAGATCTTTTTTAACAATGTTTAATTGGTCTTAGTAAAATATATTATTTTTTTCTATTTTAATTGTTAAGTTTATAATCCAACACTTTATTAACACAAAGTACGAAAAAAGATTTGATTCCAACATCGTCCGGGGGTATGGAAGCCAGCACTCAACATCTTCAAAGGCAAGCAACATTTATTGTGGGGAATACTTGGATGGGTGACCGCTTGGGAACACAAAAACAAAAAAAGGTAACGTCGCAATGAATGATTACTCCTTGTAATCATTCTGCGATTGACCTGAAGAACGTGGAAATAATTTTTATTTTTAACCTGAATTAATGCTGAACAAACAGATTTTTGGAATACATTTTTAAGCCTAAAATAATTTTGAATTCATTCGACATCATAATGATATAATTGTTACATCAGCTTAACATCAGGTAAGTCACAGTGACGTTACTTCGAGATCATATTTACGTTATATATTTTATGTCAGAGTCTGTCGTCAGGAAGTATGAAATGGCTCACATGTGTGTCATCTGTGACTTACAACTTACGTCAAACCTGACTTTGTGTGATATCATAATTACGTAATTGTGTTTACTAGGTAGTGATTTTAATTGATCAGGATATTGTAAAATTTGATATTCCACATCATTTGTGACAATAGACGTTGAAGATTTTGGTTCAGTCTCATTCAGGATTACAGAGTTCCAGCATTTTGCATACGTCCTAACGGAGCTAGCGTTATGGACATAACGATTAATATTCTTGGTGACACTCAAAATAACTATGTTTTAAGGCATTATGAAAAACTCGCTCGTTCGTACGCGGTACATGTAAAGAGAGGGCATGAATCAGATGAAAGAAAAAACGCTTTTTGTGTCTAATCATGACCCGTTTTATCCAGCATGTGAAGACAGTAGCAGCGTTTATTTCAAAGAATAGCATCTATTTTGTTATTCTATCTGTTATTGCTGTATTACTGCAATATAAGTATGGCACATTATTAACATTACATCCATATTACAACGATATAATAGTGTTCACCGAGAATGTTACAATTGTTCATCTATAAGCAGAACAGAAAAATTCCAAATATGTACCACTCCGTTTCAGTGGAGACATGCCTTCGAAATGAATTCTTTTCCCACGAGTTTTTACTCTTTATTTTCCAATATACGTTTCAACAATTTTATATTAATTGATACATCTCCGTTTCCTACCTTAAAGTCTTTGTTGAAAATTTTTTCTCGTACAACGGATTTTTTTTAAAACTTTTTTTCAACAGTATTATCTGTACTTGCTCTAAAAAAATATTTGGAATTGTTTCAGTGAAAGGCCAGATACAGATACTTCGCCACGTGGTGAGTCAGAAGATAAGTGAAAGGGGGTAAGGAGTAAACGTAGAGCGCAGTCTACTTTATTGTTGCATCACATCTCCGCACACACTCAGCATTATTTTTGCCGCTGGTGCGTTTATTTTAAAGAAAACCAGAACAACTTCTACAATCCTCAAAATTATTTCTAACATCAAGAAGGATTGCTGATAAAGCCTTCAAAATCTGGATCAAATGTATGAAGTTATACGCATTTGATGCAATTTGTTATGCAGTAGAAATAATTTTTATTGCTAGAAAGTCATATTTTAAGTGAATGAAAAAACACATTACTACAATGTTTCTTTTTCCCTCTTAAATAATGGTAATGATGGGAAACAAAATATCAATTGAATGAAAGCCGACAATAGGTTGATAGGTTTGCATTTGGTAAAAATATGAGAAATTTTAATTAAATGGACATTGCATAAAATTTTATTAGTGAAGGTATTTATTAATTACCAATAAAGCTTAAGGATTAAACTATGTTCGAGAGATAAAAAAAATATTAAATTTTTTTAGTGTTCCATATTTCGTAATTATTAAAAAAAAAATGTATAATTATAAAATTAATAATATTAATTTTTTTCATCTTAATTTATTCTTGTTAGAAGCACCAAATGAATAGAATATTCAAAGTTGTTAAGTTTATTACAATTGTAACATAGTAATGTAGAGAAAGGTATAGAAAAAAAGATAAATTTATCCCACGAAATTCATAAAGTTTTTGAATTTTTTTTATCGTGTTAAAAAACTCGTTCTGAAAATATTTTCGATACGTAGTGACCAGAATCCATTAAAATGCAAATAAGTCTATGAATAATATAAAAAATATTCCACCGTTGTTATTTACAGAATACAATAAAACAAAAACAGTCAAACAAAATCATAGAATACATGTAATGAAAAGCGTTAAAACGAAAAAAACAAGCGCTCTGGCTGTGAAGTATTAGTAATACAAGAGAATAAAAAGTTGAAAAAATAAGCAGACTTTTGAAATATATTGATGATAATGTGATACATGGTATTATCCGAACGTCTTTCATCAAAAAGATTATCATCAGCGAGTGAGCTTGTAGATAGTAAGGTAAATAAGGAATAAAAAAAACGAAAAATTATTGAACAATGTAAAAATAAAAATAGAGTGTGTATCTAGGAAGTTATTGCCTGATTGTAATCTTGTGAAAAATATGAAGAAACCGCATAACACTAAAAAAAATTGCAAATACGCCGAGTATTTTTAATATTTTTAGATTTTGGCTATACTTATATTTTATTTGTTTGAATGCTTTCACTTCATTAAAACTTCATTTACACTATCACATACATTATAATCCCTTCGAAAGTCCAAGTTTTTCTATTCTGACGGTCAAAAACAACAAATTTTACGATAAAGTTAACGATAGGTATTTTGCTGAAAACAGGAAAACCTTTCTTCACTGAAATCTAAGAAGAAATTTTGATTTTTGGGTGCGTAATGATAAAAAAAAATTCAGATCACAAAAAAGAATACAAAATAATTTAAAAATATATTTATTTCGAAGTGAATTTCAATCAGTTTATAAAAAATGCAAATGAATTAAACATATTCTTTACCTATAGGATGTAAGAACATTAAAAATACATTCAACGTATCTCCAATATTTTTTACATTGAAATGCGTTTAAAAACATTGTCAAGATATAATACACTGCTGTTACTAAGGTTGATTTATAATCATGACAAAAGAAAAATATTCCTTTGCTCTGCTTTTCAATATGATTTATCAGAAATAAGAAATGTAACACAAGTAAATAGATTAAAGTTGCTTATGTTTATTAAAAAACAACTGGTTTGGCTGTGAGATGTGACCATACTATAAAAACACTTTTAGGTCATTTTAGAAGTGTTAAAAATGGTGATAAATAATTTAAATCCGCGAAATATATTTGCTTGTCATGAAAAAACACTTTGGAACAGTTTTTCTGAATAGAAGATGAAAACGAACAGCTTTATTTGAAATTAGGTTAATCCTTCCGGAATACAAGGTTAGATCCAAGTAGATATGAGCCTATATTATTGTTGTGATAAAAATAATAATATAAAAAACGAAATGCGCTTCATAAAAGATAATTTATCCTTCGATTTCATAGTTAGAAGAGTAACGAATAAGATAGAGCGGTAAAGCGATAATATTATATATTAGCATATATAGAAAAAAAATAGAATATTATTATCAATAAATTATAATATGAATGAGTGATTCTTATATCATTTGTTGGAATAGTTTATTATTAAACAAATATAATATATTTGAAATATTTAGAATAATTATTTGTTGTTTTTAAATGATGAATAGTAGAAAAAATATATATGTATATATATATATATATATATATATATATATATATATATATATATACATCTATATATACAAATACATGTATATAAATATACGCCAGTTTGCGTCAATTTGTCAATTGATTTTTTAGAAATTCTACTTTACAATGATAGTAAAACATTACGTACGAATGTTGAGGAAATAACAAAAACTCTAGTGTTAGAGTGCTGAACAAATGTGTGTTTCGGTGTAATTTAGTCATGCTACGCATGTAGATACATCTGTTCTATGAATGTCTTCTTTTCTTTGTTTGTTTTGGTAGATATTTGTTTGAATTTTCATTCGTAATTTTTGGATAATGATTAATTATAGTTTAATAATTATTGTTTCATTATTCACTGCAAATAGTAGTGTTTTATTTAAATGTACTTAAAGTGTTTAAGAATGACGTCAGCAATTTGATTAACATTGTAGTTATTTTTGATGCACTTGAATGTGTTTAGGAAGTGACAACAATTTTAATCTGATATGTGACGTCATTCAAAACACTTTAAATGCATTAAAATAAAACACTTCTAAATTTGGGATTTATAGTGTTTCAATTTAATCTTAAGGCTAGACTTTCCTAAGTTGAAATCACCTCAAATTTTTCTCGTCAACTTATTTTTTTAAATTTATTTTTTGAATGTAAAAAATATCATAAGTTGACGAGAAAAATTTGAAGTGATTTCAGCTTAGGAAATCCTAGTTTTAAACTATCTAAGTAATATAAGAAACTTTATAAACTAACTGCCGCACTAAAAAATAAAACTAAATACAATTTAATGCTATCAAACCTTACAAATCCAAACAAAAAATGTCTTTAAATATTTTTAAATAATTAATACGAATAAATTATGTTATTTTTAACTTTTTCAATGATTCTTTTACCAAAATACATACACTTCATACTTACCTTGCCCTTACTATAAGTATGAACTAAAAGAACAAAGTAAATTCTAAATTTTTGTTGTTATTATGATCCCACCTATGATGATAAAGATATAAGTGCTGTTTTGAGAAATAATTCAACTTATTCAAGTAAAATAATTGTATTTTTTCATTTAAAAATTTTTCCGGATAACAACATACAGCTTGTTTATACATGCAGTTATTTCACTTCCAGTATAATATATTGTGTTACATTTTCAGGATGTTATCTTTAAAATTTAAAGATCGTTACGTATTTTTCAAGTATTTGAATTTCATTTAATTACGGATGATTGGTTATTTACTAACTGCGAATTCATACTGTTGTAATATCGAGTATCATAATTTAAACATTTCGATAGCTGTTAATATGCTTCTTCGAATTGACTAAAACTTGCTGCTATCAGTAAACTTTCAATTATAATCTAAGAGAAAATTAGTTGACATTTTTTTGCTTTTTCAATTGTATTTTTTTCGTTTTTATCTAATAATATACTCACTCAGCGTCCTTTTATATAATATTATCCTTAGTAATACAGTTTTTTATCAAAATCCATAAAAAGTTATCTTATGTCATAATTAAAAGTATTCAAACTATACAATAATAATTTTAGGTCTATCAAAAAGTAAAAACGAACAAATGCAGTAAAAATAAGTAAAATGAATTTTCGAAGACATTCAAAGAACGGACATACAGTTGTTAATCTATCTCAGATGGACATAGATACATAAAAAAAATAAAAGAAAGTAGTCATAATGAAAATTCAACTTCATTATTATCCATTTTCCTAGTTTTGTGCACATAAATAATCCTGCAGGACTTGAGTGCGAACTTTATTCAGAAAAAATAAGAAAACCTTTTTAAATACACAATATCCTTAACGATTATTGACAACCTCTAACAACGATAAAATATTCTTTGATATTCCTGTATTGAATCTTTTACTCCATAGAGTAATTATTATCAATTCTAATAATTTCTATATTAGTCGAAAAATTTCAGTTAATGGAAATATTTATATATTTATTTAAATTAATAAGCGATTGAATATTTTCGGTTTTCATATTCAGAGAATATTTTTAGAATTTATTTCTCTTCAATGAAAATTCTGTAAGAATTTCAAAAATATACAATTTCATGAAAAATCATCGATGAAGTTCATTGACAGAACTTTTGAGAGCATTTTTACTCTTTAAGGATTTTTTTGCTTGTAGAGAATATTTAGATAAAGTACAATGAACAAATAAAAAATTAACACAAAATATTGAATTTTTTCGAAAATTCTTATAAAGTAATCTTCAGTTTTACGGGGGAGTATGAAATACTTTACGTATGTGAAACGATAGGTATACCTTTCGGGAACTAAATTCTTTCATATGAATAGATAAACAAAAAAATAAGTAGCCAAAATAATTTATGAACTACATTATTTTTTATTAGAAATTCAAATACTAAAATGAATCGTCAGCTAATGAAAGAAAGAATGAAATTTCATTACAAGATACAAACCTTACTCTTATGATGTAACTGAGTTTAGAGTTCGATCACATGAATTTATCAGAATAAGATACATTCAACATGAGTAACATACTCCACGCCTTAAACTCTAGCATATAATATGATAATCTATGTAAGTGTTTATGAATAGCTTGATCGTTCAGCCTTTAATTACAATTATGAATACCATTCGTAAACAATAACTGTAATAGCCGATCGTTGATAACAGTAGCTTGATAGAATCTGATACATGAATCAATAAACATCAATTCTACCCGGGAAAAAATAAAATCTACATTCATCTACTGATCTATTTTTTGGCACAATTAGATCTACATTGTTCTGTATACATCTGTTTCAATCACTTTAGATCTTCTGTGATCTCTGTAGATGTATTAAATTTTTCTTATCATCCAGATTAATGGACATCTCTATAGCCATACGGTAATTTGTGTAGATATACAGTGATCATACTAGATATACATAGATTTAGTTAGATCAAATTTTCTTTAGTTTTTCAGATATAAGTAGATCAAATTAGATCTAACAAATGGCGAAAATGTAGATCTGTTTTATTTTTTCTCAGGTAATGACTTTTTTAGGGATAAAACGAAAATTTCTTACTTTACCCTTACATATTACATAAGCGATGAATCGAATTAAATAACACATTCTCTAATTTGTATTAAAAGAAAAAGTGTATTACAATAGAAGATACATTGTAAAACTTTGTTATAGAATTTTATATCAAGCATAATTGCATACTACTTACAATAATTTAAGCAAAATACTAAAGATACTTGAAGCTAAATATAAAGACCATGTACATCAGAAAATTTGGCAACAGTCTCTATTTCGAGTAATGATTTTAGACGATGTCATAAAATTTATAATAATAACTATGATTATCAAAATAACTATTAGAAAAAATAATCACATTTAACGAACGAAACAATTACATTAACCAATGCCATAGACTCGAAATAAGTAGTTAAAAAGAAGATTTTCACGAAAAACTACATTAATACCGAATTAAAAGTCAGCGTAACGGAATAAACAAAATAATTTAAAAAAATCTCAATTTTCTATTTAGTTTAATGATATATGAAAGATTGAACGCAATCGTAGATATGAAATGTTATTAGTTATCTAGCTCTTTTTACAAACTATCTTTTCAAGATTATTAAAAAATTGATTTTGTTGTTTCTAATAAATAATACTAGCAAGAAAAGTCTTCATGTTTATTTTAAAAGAATTTAGTTATTATCTTATCGTACGATAAGATAAAAAATAGTTAATACGTTAGGATTGAACCCTAATTGGTGAAATAAAAGCCTAGTGTTCTAACCACAGAGCTAATACATCATCTCTGACATTGTGTTTATCTTTATAATTCGTATAATGCAGGCTTGAGTACGAAGGGTGGGGATAGAGCTTGCCGGCGAAGTGCCGGAACTCCCCATGGATTGTTTCAACTACTTCTAAATATTTTTAAATTGCTTAAAAAAAAGCTACGTTCATATAACTGTACTAAAAAAAGTGTTTATAACCCTGTTCATATGTTTTCCGACTCGGCGTCGATAAATTACTTAAATAATTGAAAAAAAAAATCAAATCGTTATAAAGAGTTCATTTTGGCATGTTAATATTATAATTACATGCAAATATAACAAATAAGAAAGAAGAAAATTTTATCATGACTGGAATCGAACCCTGCCCAGCAAAATAAAAGATCAATGCTCTAACCACCGAGCTTTATAGTTACAATCCGCTGATACATGCTTGTCAATCATAAGCTGCAGGCTTAGACATAGAGAGTGGGGGTAGAGCTTGCTGGCGAAGTGCCAGAATTCGCTGCGGATTTTTCAAACTATTTCTTATTGTTAATAAGTTGTTGAAAAATTGTTGTACATTGATTTAGCATGATTTTTTTTTACCGACAGGGAGACTGCTCTTGGAAAATGACATAATTTGAAACATACTTGATTTATAATTCTTTAACTTCTGCAGATCTTTAATGAAATTTTCAATACAATTTTAAAGAACTAATATATAAATTGTATACTATCATTAAGTGATATCCAATGACTTGTTTGAATTCATATCTGTTTTATATTTCTTATGCTTAGCTAGTTATTATATGAAATTTACTTTACCGAATGCTACATTTTCATACCAACTGTCGCCATTTTATCGGTATTTTTATTTTTAGGTCAAATGTAATTTTTATCAGCATTTTTGGGTGAACATTTTATTGAGTTCTTCAAATGCAATTATTATTTAGTCATGATTCAACATGATGGTGTATTTAAATTTATTGGATCATATAGTCATTGTATTGAATTAAGACTTATTACGATCATAAACGTATCATTTTATGTTTTCTATTTTTCAGTTTATCTGTGCGAATCAACATGAATCATGGGTGTAATGCTTACAGTTATTTTTTTTTTTTTGCGGTTTATTAATGAATTCAGATTTATGAAATCGTGACTGACCTTCAAGAACAATATTTCATTCAACTGAAAAAACGAGTTAAAATGAAATGCAAAAGAGACATCATCCAGAATCATCTTGTTTACTATTTGGCCATGGACCCAAAAACCAGCGTCTCAGTCATGGAGAATATAATAAGGAGGCCGCACTGACGTTGGGAAAGTAGGCAAAATAAGTATCAAAAAGTACAGTTGTAGGGTAGTACACAGAAACGCAACAAGCGGCGCTGGCGTCAGGAAGCGTCGAAATAAAAAAGAAGAGAGGGCATATTTACCAATATGAGTAACTTTTAAATACTTCACTAGAACTAATGAATACTTCACTACTTGGGATTTGACTTAACATTCAAATGATTTGATAGAGTTTGAAATTTTTCATCTTAACATTCGACTCTTATTAAATTTATCAAACACACATGAATCTTGTATGCTGTCTCACAGCTTGAACATTGTATAGAGAGAGTCTATCTACTTTTATTGACATTTAGTAAGTGAAAATTTACATTCAGTAACAATTACGAAATAAACATTAGCACACACATACACATTTAACATTCGCACATTCTGACTTACAAAGTCTGTCATTTTACGCCTAGGTTTCATGATTGGATCAAGTGGACGTCATAGTTCTTGCTTAATTGTAAACTTTGGATATATGTTCGATTCTCTAACTCAACTTCGAGATTCGAGGTGATTTTTATTTTGATACTCCGGCCAATCAGGACGGGGATGACGGTGTTTCTTGTAACACTCTTCAGTCTCAATGTCTATTTGACCACAACCCCAACAGATATCTCTTCTCAAACTTTCAGGGCACAAATGTAAAGGGTGATTAGAAGAATCACAATTAACACAAATGGGATATCTTTGAGAATCTAAACTTTGAAGCTTTAAGAGAGTTGGCCTAATTGTCTCTTTGAATTGTGTCTTGTCTAGTGTCTTTCGTACGTCGGTCTGTGTTATCAGTAGGTGGTATTGCCACGCCGCGAATCTCTCTTGGTGCCAGGCCTGCGGGCTTGTTTCCCAGCTCTCGGTGGTATCTGATAAGCTGATGTACCCGAGTTGAGCAAGAGCAGCTGCATCTGCTGCTGTAAGCTCGCCACGGACGTACTTATGCTGGAAGTATGGAGAGTGATTCGATCGAGGTACATCGTGGTAATGGTGAGGCTGATTATCATGCTCAACAGCGTTAAAGTACACGAGACTATACTCAGACGGTATATCTGGTATAGGTAATGCCGCTCGGTACCTCGTTCCTGTGGACGTATGGAGAACAAACCAAGTTTTGCCATAATATACATTCAAATCTTTCTCTAAAGTATTCAAGTAACAATGAAATTTGAGTCCATAAAGTCGAGAGTTAACGTATGGACGTAAATGTGCGTCAGGTGGTATTGAGTAAAATTTGCGACTTACGTCGGCGTCAGAGTTTCGTCTGCTACTTCGAGAATTGTCGCCTTCAGATATTTGTAAGGACGAGTATGCTGGCTGGTTCACACTACTCAACGTCGAGACCCATGTTGATAGGTGCAGATTGTTATGGTCTCATTGTGAAGCCAGGCATCAAACAATTTCACCAGTCTTCTCTCATCAATTTACAACACATATCAGACGATTTACAAAGAATGACAACCATATCAATCGTTTATGCAAGAATATGAGTCACTGAACCACATGACACGAGCCAAGGCAAATTAAGTCAACTCACCAGTGTATTACTTGCCTCATCATGGTGTCTTACGAGAAGACAGTGTCACTACAAAACTCCTTCTAGTCTTCAATGGCTCAGGTCCATCATCGAGTGGTCTTTCAGAGAACGACATTTAACATACAGGCGCCAAAGTCCAAAAAGACATTGCAGACGTACTCATTTGGATCAGGCAGCATAAATTTGTGTTTACTTCAGATATCACGAAGATGTACAGACAAATCAAAGTCCATAAAGATGACTGGGATCTTCAGAGGATCTTTTGGATGGATGAACACTCCGACATCATCCCATATCAACTCATAACAGTCACGTATGGTACCAGATCAGCTTCATTCCTGGCTATTCATGCAATGATCCAGCTAGTCAAGGATGAAGGTCATAAATTCCCTCTAGCTGTTAATCCATTATTAAAAGGGACATATGTGGATAACATTTTACGAGGTGCTGATACAGTGAGTCAGCTTATAGACACCTCAACACAAGTCAGCCAACTCTGCATGGCAGTTGGTTTCCTGTTGGCGAAATGGCACAGCAACTCAGTAACTTCCCTGAAATCAGTGACAGACGACTCATCAGAAGAACAGATCCACTCATTTGAGAGCAGTAAAACGAAGTTGCTCGGGCTCTCGTAGATTCCAGCGAACGACTCATTCAAGTTCACCTCAAAACCTCCTCGTGAGAAGTCCAAGCTCACGAAGAGAATCATTTTATCAGAAACAGCGCAACTCTATGATCCACTTGGATTTCTAGCACCTTTCATTGTCAGAGCGAAGATTTTACTGCAAGACATCTGGCTAGATAAACTCTCATGGAATGAACCAGCCCCAGATCACATTATCTCTAAGTGGAACAGTGTCAGATCAGAACTCTCCCATGTTTCAGACCTCTCAATTCCACGGTGGTTAAAGATTACTCAGAAATCTACCGTGGAACTTCATGGATTTTCAGACGCCTCACAACTAGCTATGGCAGCAGTTGTTTATGTACGGTCAACTCATCCAGATCATGGAACCTGTTCAACAATAGTCTGCTTAAAGTCTAAAGTTGCTCCACTCAAGAAGATGTCTATTTCTAGACTAGAACTCACCGCAGCATTGCTGTTTGCCGGACTAATCACGTATGTTAAAAGCAACTTAGTCGTTCAGCCAACTCAAATGGTATGTTGGACAGACTCCTCAATAACATTGACCTGGATTCAGTTTCACTCATCCTGTTGGAAGAAGTTTGTGAGACATTGTGTTAGCTATTCAAGATCTTACTTCAATCAGCGTTTGGAGACAAACCGTGATTGAGTAGGTACTGTTTGTACCTAAGAAACAAAATCCAGCGGATTGTGTTTCTAGAGGTATCAGCATATCTCAGCTTTAGAAGCACCCTCTGTGGTGGATAGGCCCACAGTGGTTAACATCAGACGAATCATCATGGCCAACTCAATCATTAGTGTACGATTCTAAAGCTCAGCAGGAAGAGCGACTCAGGATTACTTTAACTCAGACTCTGACAATTCAACATGATTATCATTGGGAAATGATCTACAGACACGTTTGTCTAATCAAATTGTTCAGAGTGACTGCAGTTTGCTTTAGATTCAGCCAACTCCTTAGACGAGTACCTCAGTCGCCTGTTACCTTCCCTCTTACGCTACAAGAATTAGAGAGAGCAAGGATTTTTCGGATAAAGGCAACTCAAGAATCGTACTCCTCACAAGAAATGGAGCAGATCAACTCAAACTCACTGCCCGTCTCACACCCCCTCGCACGTTTAACAGCAGTTATTGAAACTCAAGGAGTTGTACGTGTTCAAGGGAGGTTAGCAAGTGCTAACTTGGACGAAGAAGCAAAGCATCTTGCAATTTTACCACAGAAAACTCATCTTTCCAGACTAATCATTGCAGATGCTCATGAATGAACATTGCATGGTAGGACGCAGGTGACTCTGAACCTTATATGATCATCTTACTGGATTTCAGGCGGACGACTCCCAGTAAGGTCCTACATTCATCATTGTATGAAATGTGCTCGGTTACGTGGCGAACGCGCAAAGCAGTTAATGGGTCAATTGCCGTCATCAAGAATCACTCCAGCTCGACCATTTGCCGTCTGTGGATTACGCAGGTCCCATCACACTAAAGACTTGGAAAGGCAGGGGCGCCAAAACAACCAAAGGTTGAATGTGCTCTCCACTTGGAGATTGTAACAGATTATTCAGCAGACTCATTCATTACAGTGTTCAGACGGTTCACTGGACGGCAAGGTATCTGTAGGACTCTTCACAGTGATTGTGGCATCACATTTCAAAGCGCAGAGACATTACCAGAGCCTTCACAAGGAGATGTGCCAATGCCACGCTTCTCCAGGTGGCAGTTTATTCAGCAGCGACTCCAATCGTTTTGGTCAACTTGGTCGAAACAGTACCTTCAGCAGCAACTTGCTATCTCCAAATGGGAACACTCATCACACCAAATCACAGTCGGCTCACTTGTACTATCCATTGATGAGAGGTTCCCACCAACAAGGTGGCGTCTCGCCAGAGTGATGGAGGTGTTCCTAGAAGCAGACGGACTCATCAGGACAGTCAAACTCAAGACAGCAGCAGCAGAATTCATCAGATCACTCATCAGGCAAGTCATATTACCATACACTCCACCAGCAGATGATCAGCAAGGGCGTTGCTGATGGTGGGACAATGTGCTGACTTGGAGGGCCCCAAGTCAGTCAGTCTGAGAATTTTTTAAATTCTTTAATGCCGGACTTGTCCACCGGTGCGTCACTCAACTCATTGCCTAATCAGGGAAAATTATTGGTCTAGTGACCCAGCAGACAACTCTACGGCCCTAATGACGCCAATGAGCACGCTGTCGAGCACTTGTGGTGTCAGTTAGCTCCAGGCAAATCACGCGGTCGACTCTGTAATTTTTCTCTCCGCAAAATCTGTATGTCTATTACACAGACGACTCGGTTTTTAGTGAATTAGCTGAACAGTTGATATACAACTCACGAACAATTAGTGATTAAGTATATATAATCATAGGTTAAGTGTTTTTTGTTAATAAAAATCCAGAAAAACCCATAGAACTTTTGTGTTTGAAAGGGTTTTAATAAACCTTTTAGCATCCAACCTCCTGAATTGACATTACAGTCCACTTGGTGCGTTTTTTCTCATCCCGGCCTACTCGAAGTCAGAACAGTATGTATGTATTTGTCATATGTGGCTCTCCCTTTGATCTGCGCTGTCCCTCATACAGCCTGCATAAATTTATTCCTTATTTAAGTGTATCCCGGTACAATGAATTTTTTTTTGAAGGTGTCCCTAGAACGGAACTCTACCCAAAATTTCTTCCATTTTTCTTTGCTACAATGATCACTTTTATTGTGGAAGTGAACTCAAGTTAATTATAAATTATGTTAAAAAGTTTCTGTATTTGAGGGAAGATCTTCATAGGAATATATACATCCGGATGAAATGTTTTTTATTTCAAAAAAAAAATGATCATTTTGAGTCATATTATAACAACAATTCACGCCTCTTTATTTAGTGTTCATAACGCTAAGCTATTAAAGAGAAAGTATACGATTAATTGAGCATCAGATGTCACTCTGCCACCATTACTACGAATATCGTGGTTATGCTAAATATCATATCCTTTTGTTGATAGAACAGAGTTTCTACGAATCCAAGCTTTAATCATCTCCTAAAATATCCATTGTTTTGGCAGTACAAGATCTCAGATCTAAATTTTTTTTAAACTATAAATTCCCTATGAGTATAGAATTATATTCTCGATTATCTCTATGCTTGAAATCTTAATTGTGTTAGCATTGATCCAATGCCAGTAGCGGTAGTAAATTATTAATGCACATTTTTAACAGGAAGAGAAAGAAATTTATTATTAAGTAGAATTAATAGTTACAGCATTTTACACTCAATATTTTGGAGTACTGGTTTTACTCCTCGATTAAAGCTTTTTGCTTCAAAAAATTATAATCGTAAATTAAACATGACAAAAAAAAATTCTAATTGCATGTTAAACAAAAATAAAAATAATATTCTTTTTCTCTAAATGAGTTGATACCTTTCTCATTCTTAATCTCATCTTTGTAGACTTTATAATACATTTATATAAAGTTATTTTAATAATCGGTTAACAAAACTAGTAAATTTTATCTTACATAAACTTTTGGTCATTAAATCCGCTATATTCTTTTCTGATTCAATATACTCTAGCTGTATTTGTTTCCCTATCACGAGATCTTTTATGAAGTGAATTTTGATATCAATGTGTTTAGTTCTTTTGGAGTTCTCGTAGCTTTTGGCTATGCATATTGCTCCTTTATTGTCTACGAATGGGTGAGCTTGACCTTGTTGACCCAAATGGGTTTGTACTCCCTTTAGATTAAGTAATTCTTGAGCTGCCTGAGCTGCTGCTATGTATTCAGATTCTGCTGTAGAAAGTGCTACACATTTCTGCTTCTTGGAATGCCATTGAATTGGATTTGGTCCATGAGAAATCATTGCTCCACTGACGCTTTTCCTATCTTTTTTGTCTCCTGCCCAATCAGAATCTGAGTATGCATATAAATTGCTGTCTGTGCTCTTTTTGAACATTAGACCTTTACTTCTAGTTCCTACAACGTATCTTAGTGTACGTTTTGCTGTACTCCAAAGTAGATCTGTAGGCTTCTCAACATGTCTGCTTAAATAGCCCACTGAGTATGCCAGATCAGGTCTTGACGTTACTGTCAAGTACATTAGGCTACCCACTAATTCTCTATAAGGTGCGTTTGTTAGCTCTGCTCCTCCATTTTCTTGTATGTTTAGTTTAGTTTCCATTGGTGTTTTTGCACCTTTACATCCTGTCATTCCAAATTTATCAATTATCTTGTCAATCAGTTTCTCTTGTTTGATTAGTATTTCATTTTCTGTTCTTTCTATTTCCATACCCAAGAATTTATTCATTTGTCCAAGATATTTGGCATTATATTGTTTCTTCAACTCTTCAATTATTGATGTCTCTTTTCCCATAATAAGTATGTCATCTACGTAAATTAGCATCCAGCAGTTTGTTTTATAATATAAACAATAATCATACTCTGATCTTTCAAAACCCTTTTGTTTTACATACCTGCTTATAGTATCATTCCAACATTTAGGAGATTCTACTAGTCCATAGAGTGCTCGATTTAACTTTAATACTGTGTTTTTATTTTTTGATTTCATGCCTTCAGGTATTTTTATGTATATATCATTTTGTAACTTTCCATTCAGAAATGCTGTTGGAATATCTAGTTGGTGAATTACCAAATCTTCTTGAATTGCTTTTGATATCATCATTCTAATCGTTGCCATTCGCGCTACTGGTGAGTATACTATGTCCAACGCATCCTTTTTCTTAGCTTGAAATCCTCTAGCCACTAATCTAGCTTTTCGAGTACCGTCTTCCGTGATTTTAAATACCCATCTCGTATCAATTGCTTTTTCTTTTGCAGGTAAGTTAACTTCTTTCCAGGTTTGAAGTTTGTTCAATGCTGCCAGCTCGGCTTGGATTGCTTCTCTCCACCTTTTTTCACCTACTGCTTGTTTATACGTCGTGGGAGTCTCTGTTTGTGTTAATAGGCAATAAGCTATATGCGCTTCTTCATCTCCATCTGAGAAATCCATTTCGTAATCATTATGCCAAGCGGGTTTCTTTGTTATTCGCTTTTCATATATTGACTCTTCTTCTCGCTTTCGCTTAGCATTGATGTCTTCTCTTCTTGGATTTTCAGTTTCTTCTGTTGGTCTGGACTCTTCTTCAATTGGTTGAGACTCTAGTTCTGAGTCTAGCTGCTCAGCTTCTTCGTTTATTTCACTAGATTCTATCTCTAGATACTCCTTCTCTGTCTTTGGACTTTCATCAAAGATGACGTTTCTTGCTGCAATGGTTTTTCCTGCTTCTTCGTCCCATAATTTATACCCAGATAAACAATAGCCAACCATAATTAGTTTTCTTCCTTTTGGATCCAGTTTACTTCTCTGCCCTTTTGGGATGTGAGCATAGGTGTAGCTGCCAAAAGCTCTTAGGTTTCTCACGTTTGGTTTCCTGTTCTCCCATAGCTCACTTGGGGTTTTTTCTCTATCTGCTGTCGGGCTTCTATTTGTAACATATGCAGAGTATAGCACTGCTTCTCCCCACAATATTTTGGCTACTTTAGCTTCAATTAGGATAGTGCGAGCCTTATCCAACAATGTCCGGTTCATTCTTTCTGCTACACCGTTCATCTCGGGGTTGTAAGCTACTGTGTGTTGAAGAACTATCCCATTGATATCGCAGAACTGTTTTAGCTCTCGTGACGTGTACTCTCCTCCATTATCTGCTCTTAGCTTTTGTATGTTACTCTGAAAATGTTTAGTTACATAATTATAATATGATTAAAATTTTTCAAATACTTCTGATTTGTGTTGAATTAGATATACCATAACAAAATGAGTGAAATCGTCTACGAACGTAACAAAATAATTATACCCATTCCATGTGGTAGGATGGAGAGGACCACAGACATCACTGTGTACTAATTCTAAGGGTTTGGTGGCTCGATGGCCTGCCCTTGTGAACGGTTGTCTGGTCATCTTACCCATCACGCATTGCTCACATAGAATATTATCAATATTGTTGTGTTTGATTTCTTCTAACCCGTTGACTAAGTTTTTCTTTATTAATATATTTATATTGCCCATACTCAAGTGACCTAGGCGTCTATGCCATAATTTTATTTGTTTATCTTTGTCTCTACATTCTGAAAGATTTCAAGATTTTGACTTAACTATTTCAGTCGTTATTCTATACAATGCCCCCTGTTCATCTTTTTCTCCCTTAATTATCAGCTTGCTATTTTTCGTCTCGTTATAAACTTTAACCTTCCCATAAGCAAAAATTACTTTCATTCTATTACTTTCCATTTTAGAGACGGACAGTAAATTTTTTCTCAACTCCGGTACATATAAAACATTTTTAATCGTACAATATTCGATTTTATTATTGATTCTACTTTTTATTTCAACATTTCCTACTCCTATGGCTTTTAACACGCTCGTGTTTTTTGCTGCTGATATCAATATGGGTTTCTTTAGTTCTACGTATTTCGAAAAATAATCTTTATTATTTATCAGGTGATCGGAACAGCCTGAGTCTATAACCCATTCTATTTTGTTCGTTTTGTTTTGATTTACTAATACTTCCCTAGTCTCACTGCAAAGAAACGCTGATCTATCGACCTCTGTGAAATGTGTTGATTTGTATCTGTTGTCTCGACCTCTGCCTCTTCCTCTGAAGTACTGTTGATGTTGTTAACGTTCGTTGCTCGTTTCTCGCTGCTCATTATCTGGACGGCGTCCATAGTTTGATGGATTTGAACGATGACTTGACCCTCGAAATGATTAGTATTTATTTTTGTTTTTATTTTCTGTGCACTCGAATTTCTTGTGCCCTGGTTTGCCGCATTGAAAACACAGGAAAACGTTGCTGACACTTCGATTGCCATTTGAGTTGTTTCTGTTTAGCTTTTCTTCTTCTCCGATTAATCGAGTCTTTACAAAGTCGTATTTGAGGTTCTCAAATGATTCTAAAACCGCTACTACCTGTTCATATGACTTAGGCATGGAGGATAGAATATAATTTATTTTATCTTCTTCTGATAGCCCACTATCTCCATCCTTTAGCTGTGAAAATATTTCTTCCATTTTTATAAAGTGATCAATTATTTTCTCTCGTTCATTAAACTTCATTTCACTTAACGTTCTTCTCAAAAAAAGTTTACTCCTGGCACCTTTCTTCTCAAAGCTGTTTGCCAGATTTTCATACATCTCGTAGGCTGTGTCTTTCCCGCGCAAATATTCTAGGTGACTATCAGCCACTGTTGCTATGATGATAGCTTGAGCTTTAGCTTCTCCTGTTGCATTTTCTGTCGCACTTGCATATGTCTTTTCTTCAATAGCTTTCAACACTTTACTTTCTTTAAGGACACTTTTAAGTCTAAATGACCAAGCACTAAAATTTTCACCTGCGAATGGGGTGATTGGATATTTGTCTCTCACCAACGCTGACGCCATTTTTACGTTTTCTCTCCTTTTTACTTTTGGTGAATTTCTAACTTCCGAAGTTTCATCTGGGCCCATAACCCTGTTAGCATTGATCCAATGCCAGTAGCGGTAGTAAATTATTAATGCACATTTTTAACAGGAAGAGAAAGAAATTTATTATTAAGTAGAATTAATAGTTACAGCATTTTACACTCAATATTTTGGAATACTGGTTTTGTTGGCATGTGCCTTTCGACTAGTCTTGAACTTTTCTACCGTGCTCACGCTCATGCACACACACACAGTAGCCTCACTCACACGCCTATTTGTGCTGGTGCCTACTGGCCCAATAGTAAACCTTGTTTTTGCATCTCAACAAATTGAAATATATTTTTTTGCATAGAAATTTTAAATCTAGTATATTATGTATCTTCAAACAATAACTCTATTCTTAAATAATAATGTTTTGAAACATAATAAATAATAATTCTATACAGAAAAACCTGTAATTATCCAACAGCCGATAACATAGATATGCAGTTGGTATATCAGAATAGATGAAATATGAGATACTTTCGAGCAGGAAATTAAAAACTATTGGGATATAGGATAATTTATCTCAAGAGAAATAAAGGGAATAAGTTATAACCAGTAAATAAACAATTGAAATTAGCAGAACCGAAAAATAGAAAATCATTATGCATGCAAACTAATCAATATAACCAATATATTTTCGTGTTTTTTTCTATTACTTAAATCTTTATTATAAAATCAAACAAAATGTTATTGTATTTTCATTTTTATTTCCAAATTATTTAAGTAATCATTTCTTAATTACTTAATTTATTATTATTACAAAGTGTTAAACTGATACAATAACATTCTTATGAAATATTTGAAATTACTTAAAATAATGACGCATGTTGCAATTACAGATAAAGATCCTTCCTTATTACTACAAAAAAACGAATTATTCAATGTAAAAAACATGCTACTTCAATTACCGTTCAACTATTAAATGAAGACTTTTATAGTGGATCCAATGTCTCCACGACAAATCGGGCATGTTGCATTTGTGCTAGCATTCCTAGCAAAAAATCGTCTTTGCTGATGTGTCCTCAACAATATCATAATACAAGCTGAGCATACCCATAGATGACGACACGTAAAGATAATGTATCCACCCGATTTATCAAACAAATTCGGCATGATGATGTTAATTGTAGTGTTGATGATTGTGATGACGGTAATGATGGTGGTAACGAATGAATGGATATAGGCGATGATGGTTGAGGTGGTGGTGGCAGTTGATTATCATCTCTATTTTCATCACTATCATTATCTATATTTATGATTACTGATCTTGATTGATTGACTGCTATATTTATATTAGATCGGATGTCTTCATCATGAAGTAGAAGCCTTTCATCTTCATCGTCACTACTATCTAGAAACAGAATGATTTACCCATAACATTTTGAGATAAATTTAGAGAAATACTTTTAAAAAATTATTTTTCTGTAATAATACTTACTATCAATATTAGTTATAATTATAGCAAGATTGTTCCTGTAATTGTTCTTATTTAGGGTTGTAATTAGAAAATCCATTATATTAGTTCTGAAAAATTTTAAGGCGAATTATTTAAAAATAACAGCTATCTTTTATTTAGATAAAAAATTCGTTTAGTTATCGATTTAATTCCCAACGTCGTTTTAGATCTCAAATGTGGAAATCCCTTCTTTGCTGCTGCATTTGGTGACGATTCCTGTGTACTGGTGATCTCGTGTACCTTCTCCGAAGTTATTCCATTTATTTTTAGAATCCATAATGTATACAACAAGTCATTCTACAATATTTCCTCCTCACGTAGGAATTGATTCAAAGGTGGATGTACTCCTCCTAAACGACGTACTTAATGCCTATAAAAGGACTCGGCAATATTGTTAGTTCTAACAGGATTATCATGTACTAAAACAATATCGTTATTCTTTAACTAAAAATTCTTCATATAATTAAAAAATTGGATGATTTTCGTTGAATCCAAGACTTGTTTAAAAGTATATTGCTCAATTGCTTCAGCGAATCTTTGTGGAGGAAGTAATAGAATATTCCAAGCTTTATAAAAAACACTTTTTCCAGTATTATCTAGTGGTAAAGTTAATACTCTCCATTTTTTAGTTATTGCCTGTTAAATAAAATACATTATTAGGCATGAATTCTCTTATTTTTTTCATAAATATATTAGATACACGAATATAATGAAACCAGCATCCTCTTATTCGTATGTTTCTACTAAAGTTTTGTCTAATACTCCGTACTAGTGCCTGTTCATAATCCCAGTGCACATTTTGCAAATTATCTACAATGGTTGAAGCTTTATTTATTAAAAATGTCAAGAAGGTATTATGAAAATGGAGAGTTCTTCTTTCACATAAAGCAAAAATTACTGGAAAGCCCTAAAAAAGTTTTTTCCAAAAATTGATAATATAATAAAACTGAAGTTCATAAAGTTCTTTCTCAAAATAAAATTGTTGTTGAATTTTAATTTTTCGTTCCTTTGTAAAATGAAATATTTAACAATATTTTTTTTATTAAAAAAGAATTGCATGAATACAAAATATATTTAATTTTAAATTTCAGTCATACTTACAATATCTGCACGTCTGATATGGACTATGAATAATTGGTGACATCTTGGACGATGTCGTAAGACCTAAGTAAATTCATATTTGTCTTAATATTGTATAAATTTCACTACAAAATATCTTTATTACTGTTATTGATTAACTTACTTTAAATGTTTCATCAATATCAATATCAGATGCCATTGATTGATGGATTAACATTTGTTCATCATAAAAAATTACACCATTTGAACCATCAACATCACTTCTGCACATTCCTCGATAGATGGATGAAGCCAAAGGCCAATTGCTGAGCATTCGTCCTTAACCTTCAAAATTTGACGGAGTAGGTGGCCGATGACGTCATCGTTCCTCCTCCTGAAAAACATCAATTCTATAATTTTTTTTTACAATTATTTCCTTGAATTTTTACTGTATTTTTACTTTCATAATTGTAAAATCGACTGTACAATTATTCCCTTGTATTTTTACTGTATTAAATAATGTTTGTCTAGTAAGTCTAAAATATAAGTTCAGTTTCACATGTTATGCCCAATCTTGGATCCGCCATTTTGAATTCTGTCAATACAATCTCAGATTCATGTTTAGCGATCCCAAAAACTCCCGAGTATAAAAATCTAGACCAAAATATGCAGTAGAACATTTTTGACAGCGGTTTAAATAGGTGATGCTCTGGCAGTACCACTGTGACTCAAAGGGTTAACACTAACTTCATTATTTAGAAATTATTATATGCAAATATATTATTGTATCATGATAAGTATAGATAAGGTTAAATCCTATAAACTTTTACAGCATTCAAATAGAAAACATTATATTTGACTAGGAAAAGTTAAGTAATTACTGCTACCCGAAAAAAATCTTATAGGATTATTCAAATCTAGATAGCTACATAACTTCCATGTTCACACAACTGAATAGGATCATGTTGATTCCAAAAGTTAGTGAGAAATTCTGTAGAAAATAAAGAGTTTCGATAGAGAATGCAGTCAATACCCTTTCTTCTATTCTGAGCATTGCATCAGTTGGATAGCAAAATTCTGATTGGGAATATCGTGATAAACAATATTCTCTAAGTCACATTCCCTTTTTTAATATATTTATTTTTCTATAAGAACTTGGGATAGTTATCGGTGTAAAAAATATCAAGCCCTGTGGAGGAATATTGTCACTTGAAAATACTAAGTCGTATTTTGAAGTAATGATAAAGGTAATGCAAGTACTTTTGATAAAAATAGTAATAATCTTCTTGATATATTAAGTAAATACATATACGAATAGTGAATGCAGTCTGATTCCTTCAATTTCCAAGGTTCAGGAAACATGATTCTTAAAATTGGGCATTACGTCATAGTATCACTTTTAGTCCAGTAGCCGTAATTTTAAGTCCTATCTTTCAAGGTAGTAATCACTTTAATTAATTCCTAGGCATAGATATATCTCATTAAGGACCTAGAAGATTCTGGAATGCAGAGTTTTCGGGTGAAATAGTCTGGGATAGTCAGTATTCTCGAAGTATTCTTCGGTTACGGTCAGTATGCGTCTGCAGTTCGTACTCGGTGTACGTCTGTACGGCTCTTGGGCATCATCGGATGACGCCAACCGACAGACGACTCGTTGTATCGGTCAACTCATTATTGTTATAATTGCAGAGAGCTCACGCAGTCAAACTCTTTATTAATATCCCAGAAAACTCTTCAGAATATTACTTAATAATGGGATAACTCAGCCGACAATCATCTACAGTGGTGATTGTGACCCCATCATTCAGTCTACATCTCATATATTGCAATTATCCGTCTATCCGTTGTGCATGGTGTAAAAAATCATTGTGTATTGAACATTTATACAATGATTATCACATATGTAATACACACAATAGATAAATAATTAGTCTTCTTCATTTTGATACAAATCTAGGAAAAAAGAAAATATCATTTCGGGCATCGATTTCGATGCTATTTTAAAAATTGCAAAGACACATATTTCGTAATTTTTTATGCTCTTTCGATTGAAATTGGTCTCATTAAAAAATAAATAATAGACTATTATGTAAATAAATGTATTTTCTATCATTTTTTATGTTGTTGTTAACGTATGAGGTCGTTTTGGAAAATTTCGATTAAAAATATGTAAAAATTACAAATCACCTTCATAGGGTGTCAACTTTGGGGGTGATTTTTACCCCTTCAAAATGTTTTTCCGCCGAAAAAAAAAGTAGTTCATCATTTTCGACGTAGATTATTATATAGAAACCTCAGCTAAATCGACGGTGACCACCTCACGAGGTTTCCTTGTTTGTATTTTTGTAGAAATATTTTTCAATAGGATCTCTGAGTTTTTATTAGGTACATTCTCTTTATATTTCTACAAGAAATAAACAGATTAAAAAAGAAAATGAAACTCGGAAAATATTTTCGCATCACGATATTTACTATTATAATAGCATTCTCTAATTAATACAATACTGAGAACAAAAAAAAGGCTACAATCAAACTCCTCTTATTTCCTGACCCTCAATCTTCAATTGGCAGGCCTCACTTCTCACGTGCAGTGTTTACCATGAATAATCCAGTAGCCAAAAAAAAAACCTGAAAATAATTTTCTAATTGAGATTTCCAAAGGCGCGAGAATATTACGTCCCAAGTAACGCCGTCACTAGAAGTAGAGCCATTCCCAAAGTCATGCCCTATAAGGCGAGGTACTCAAATAAAATGTCCTTTTTAAGGACAGGGAAACAAGGATTTGCAAGGTATACGTTTATTGTATGAGCTGGGATATACTGAAGAGCTTCTATAATTTGTAGCGTATTCATTACATGCTTTCCAGTTATTATCGGCTCAATTCAAACTTGCTTGTCTGTTAGAGCTGCCGTAGATTTAATGTACATTGATGAATTATTTTTGGGCAAATCACGGTAATAGTAAGCAGCGGACATTGAACAGTGGCCTGTAAACACGTACGTCAGAGCAGAGTGATATGAACAAACGATCTCTACGGTTGACAGGACAGTTAATGACGGTTGATCAGACATGTCATCGGTATTTATAATTTTTTTACACATAACCGTTTTTAATAGGCGTTTTTGCATATCGACTTGATTAATGATGAGCCTTCGTACCACAGAATACCATGTTGTGATGTCGAAAAGTTATTTGCATGTTGTTTTTATTCCGATAATAACGAATAAGAAAATTCAGGAGCAATTATTCAATGGCCAATAATATGAGCTTCTAATGCGATCAAAGCAATTTCTTTTGGCAGAAATGTGGCGTCGTTATTGAAAAAACCCTGCATATCAACCACAAACTTCATCTTGAGTAAAAATAGCGCTTACCACTTGAAAAGTATTACACGACAGACGGTTAGCTCGATACATATTGTTCTTTGTTGAACAATATGTATCTACTTTATGAAAAATATACTTAGCCAGCAAAATTTACAATTATTCGCCGAGCTGAATCAATTTCGAGTATATTCTCATATTCAGTATAAATAATACAATTTATAGTTGAAGCTAAAGCGTCATCGAAACGTACTTCTAGGCGTACACTGCCATTCCTGATCAAATTCCAATGTGTATTAGAATTATAGAAAATACCGTCGATATCTTGATAATTAAGATCTTGAAGAATGTTAACGGGTGGTTGGCGGAACGTTGATATGCGAATAATTTTAAAAATTTCTTCACTCCAACCGCTTGTATAACCTTTCGCGAAAACTGCTTTTACTTTACTGATGCAAACGAAATCACCAACACTATATTTAGGCTTTTTTGATGATTTCTTACAGCTTTTATTGATAACTTCCCAGTGGGAAGTTATAGTAATGGGTCCGATTTTGCGAATCCCGAATTTTGACATATCTCCACGTTTTAAGGTTCCCAGAGTCGAATACGATCGTTTTCCAGTGGACGTCTGTGTGTGTGTATGTACGTTCGGAATTATTTTTCGCCTCGATTATCTCGAGAACAAAAAATGATATCGATGTGGGACCAATTGCATTCGACGCGTAATTATGTAACTTAGGATTGATTAGATTTTCAGCGAAATCGGTCCAGCCATTTTTTTTTGCAGAACCAAAAAACTAGCAGAAATGGAAGATGACCTGAATTTCTCAATTTATGAATTATACCATTTTTTAGACAAAATTTCGAAATCTTAAAAAAAATATGAATATTAAATGATTAGAATATTTGTATGAAAATATGGTGACAATATTTCATCGAAAAAAAAAATTTTGAAAAACAAAATCA